TATTTATTATATATATATATATATATATATATATATAGAAAGAGAGAGACTAAGAGAGAGGGAGAGAGTGAGATTCCTAAGGGGTGCTTTGCGATTTGGAAATTATTAAAAATTCCTGGCCCTAAAAAAGTGTGACGAGTTAAAAAAAATTCCACACATTCCAAAGAAAAAAGATCCTTTTGCTAAAGGCAAAATATTTCCACGGTCATATTTGGGTATGAATGTAGTGACACATTCAAGCACAAAAAGGAAAAAGAAAGGAACAAATTGCGTGGACTTAGAAATAACAAAAACCTCCTGGTCCTCAAAAAGGATTGAACAGATCCAAAAAATAAATCCCCACATATTCCAAAGAAAAAAGATGCTTTTGCTAAAGGCCAAATATTTCCATGAGCAAATTTGGATATGAAAGCAGTAACACATGCATGCACAAAAAAGAAAAAGAAAAAGAAAGGGCAAAATATGTGGATTTGGAGATAACAAAAAATTCCTGGTCCCCAAAAAGAGTGAAGCGCTCAAAAAAAAATAAAAAAAAAATCAAATCCTCAAATTCCAAAGAAAAAAGATCCTTTTGCTGGAGGCAAAATGTTTCCATGAGCATAATTTGGATATGAAAACAGTAACCCATTCAAGCACAAAAAAGAAAGGAAAAAAATGTGTGGATTTGGAAAACAAAAAATTCCTATTCCTCGAAAAGAGTGAACGGTTCAAAAGAAAAAAACAAATCCACACACATTCCAAAGAAAATACGTCCTTTTGCTAAAGGAAAAATGTTTCCATGAGCATATTTGGATACGAAAGCAGTAACATATTCATCCACAAAAAAGAAAGGAAAAAAATGTGTGGATTTGGAAATAATAAAATTTCCTGGTCCTCAAAAAGAGTGAACAGGTCAAAAAACAAATCCACACATTCCAAAGAACAAAGATCCTTTTGCTGAAGGTAAAATGTTTCCACGAGCATATTTGGATATGAAAACAGTAACACATTCAAGCACAAAAAAGAAAAAGAAAAAGAAAGTTAAAAATGTGTGGATTTGGAAATAAGAAAAAACTGATTCTCAAAAAGAGTGAACAGTGCAAAAAAAAAACATAAAACAAATCCACACATTTCAAAGAAAAAATATCCTTTTGATAAAGGCAAAATGTTTCCATGAGCATATTTGGATATGAAAGCAGTGACACATTCAAGCAAAAAAAAGAAAACGAAAAAGAAAGGAAAAAAATATTGTGACTATTGTATACTAAGGTCCAAATGATGTAGAAATGGGGCGGGTTTTCACAGTTTCACACTTCATGGACATACAAAGTACCAGATTTGAAAACAAATAGGCCCAACTGACCCTCCTGCAAAAGAGCGGAGGACATAAATAACAAGTCCATAATTTTTATATGGAATCTCAGCTAGAGGCTTCAACCATCTCTTGTTCCACATTGCCCTTTGGCACTGGATAGTACTTGTAATGTAGCTCCCCAACATCATCGCCTGAAAGCTTCTTCCAACCATTGGGTCCCACATAATAAACTGTGAAAACCAGAATTTTAATGTTTTAAAACCTCCAAGTAGATCCACAGGTGGAAAAAGGATAAGATCAACCCAGCAGGACCAGGTTTGGGTATTGGCACATGATCTGGACCTGACGGGTTGGATCCGGGTCCAATATAGACCCCATCAAGTCCAGGCTGTGGCCTGGCATGTTAGGTACTGTCTAGATCCAATGGAGCTAGACCTTAAATAGGTCCAGGTCCGGACACTACTGGGGTAGGGTCTAACTGACCCAATTCCGACCTGATCCATTTGCAGCCCTAGGTAGTGTGTGTCTGTGTGTGAGAGAAAGAGAGAGAGAGAGAGAGAGAGAGAGAGAGAGAGATACTGACCGCTAGCAACACCACCACTGGCCCCATCACGAAATGTGGCATGATATATAGATCGGCGTGCCAATTCAGCAGCTTCTTCACATGACATATCATATCGATACCTTATTAAACATCATGACGGGAACCAAGCCTCTCAATTCACATTTTATACAAAAAAACAAGGAAAAATATAGTCTGATCTGAGCAGTCATACGATAAATACGATGAGGTGGATTATCACTATCCAATCAATGACTTGGATGGTGCTGGAGAGACAATAGGACATACATATGAATCAATAACATGTTTGGCGGTACCCACGCCCTCCATCACTGTCCAAATCATGTAATGGGACCTTGATAGCCTAATGGTCATATTTTAATCCTGACCACATGGATCATATAATACGGACCCAAATATACCACAAAGCTTACCCGCTATCCAATACACCATATGCATATGGTGAACCTGACCCAACAGAAAAACGCGTTCCTTTGAGCCGTCCTCCTTCACTGTCAACATAATACAAACCAGGCCCCTGGAAAATACTGCGATGTCAGAATTAATTGCTTTTATTTCCATAAGAACTTCATCACCCAACCGTTTTTTAGGCTTTGGAAATCATAGTTGATCTCATTCATAATTTCTTGGTTCTTTTTTTTTTCCCCTTTTTTGGGTGGATAAACCGTGGGGGATTGCAACCCTTGGATGTTACATTACAGTTTCACCACCTCAACCACAGAGTTAAGAGGCCCCATAACTGCCTCCACACGCATATGAGCACTCAATCTTAAGAAGCCACTCAAAACAAAATAATAAATAAAATACAGAAACCTTTTTATGTGTCTACATGTATGTACTTTATAGGCAAAGTCTCCCATCCACATCATGTGGAGGGTAGAAGGGTGTGCTTGTGCACCCTTTCAAACGGCTCAGATTAAACACGGCCACATCCAACTGCCACAAAAGAGTTCTATATTCTATTTTTTATTTTTATTCAAAAATGATATTTATCAGGAATTTAGGATATAGATGTAACCAAATAAAGATAACAAAAAATGTTTAAAAGAAAAAAAAATCTGACCAAATACCCTTAAATTGTTTTAGAGGTATTTTGGTCAACTTTTTTGTTCAAAATATTTTATTATTATTTTTATCTTATGTGCCATAAAAAATACATCTATAAATATTATTTTAAAAAATTAAAATTAAAATATAAAAGTATTTTTGGGCCATTGGATGATACTATATTCAATCCAAACCATTGAGGGATGCTTGCTCACCCTTCAAGCATCCACATCATGTAGCCACTATACAATACCTATTTTATGGGTCTACAGACCCACAGCCAGTCCATCGGACTGCTATCTCTAGACATAAAAAAATTATGATATGTGGGGACTACTAGAAAGCTCACTCAATAAACTAAACTATAAAAGGGAAAATTCATACAATAAATTAAAAAATAATAATGAAATAACACATAAAACCAAGTGTATTGGGACCATAAGTATAGAGTACCGTTTCATCCCATCCAGCAATCATGGTGCCAACAGATAGGCCCATTCCCCGGTATGAGTAGAGAATATTAGCCAGTAGTTTTGAAGCTCCTGTAACTGAGATCCGTCGCTTGTTTGCCAACTCATGAAGACGGCACTGAAAAAATGTAAAAAACGAATTCCTCTAAATTACTAAATAAGCTTTTTATTGATTTCAAAAGAAGAAGATATCATCTGAAAATTTCCCTAACTAATTAATTTTCAGGGGCACATGCTTTAGATAAGTAATCAGAATTAGAATGAACAAAGCTTCCTCTTCAAGTTTCCAAATAAATGGAACTCAATCCTGACAAACTTACCTTAATACCCAAGTTCCTATGCCAAAACTGACAATCAGCAGCCCCTCCAGCCAAAGTCCCAATTAAGTAAGGATTGATTTCTATGATTTTCTTCACAGATTGTGATGCTGCATTGAACAGATCATTAGGTTTCCTATAAACACCACATTAATAAGAATTATTATAGTAAATCTTAAGTGCTCTGTTCTATAGTAAATCTTGAGAAGCAGTGTTTTTTTTTTGAAGTTGTATCTTGAGAAGCAGTGTTGACAAAGAAGAATCACGAAAGTTACAGATAAAGCACTTTAGTCCATAATGAAATATAGGTAATGCAGACAATTTATAGTTTACACCAGCGTTTAAAAAATTAGTAAGCCGAATCCAAATCGCCAGAGCCTACTGGAATTGGTGTGCGGGGGATTCCATTTTGAGGAACCCTGAAATTGCACAAAACCCCAGGTTTTTTGGATCTTATTTATTTTCCACTGTATCTATAAAATGATGCAACTCGGGAATTGCCCTATTTGGATCAGTCCGCTGGCAATTCAGGGTCCACTTCTGATTTGTAAAACCCTGGTTTGCACTGTGATCAAGTGCAACGAAAGTCGAGCCAGAGCAAGAATTAAGGTTAATTTGGGTTGATGATACATCAAGCATATCTCCATTTCATTCATCACTTGATTCTCACATCAAAATCACACAGGTAGGTAGATACCACTCTTTTGCTACTTTAAGTTGTACAAATATGGCTATTAGGAGTGACAGGACGCACTATGGACATCAAGATAGGGGATTCTCTAAAACCCTTAACATACTTCCCAAAAATAAGTACTGGAAAGGAACAAGCACTGCATTCTTTGAGGTTAAGAAATGTTCCCGGCAATAAGTGGAATAATGCATGGTAGAGAAGTAACAAATTCCCCACGAAAACAAATGCAAAACCTAATAAATGGATTCCTTGTAGTAATTTCCGATTATAATTCTCAGATATCTCCTTTTTTTAACTTTTTTAGTTTTGCTAAAACTAATACTCTTTCAGTGTCCAAGAGCAGAACAAAAAAAACAAAAAAGTAAAAATTGAAAATTAGAGGATCTTATAATCCAGATCAATGGTAATCACACAAAGATGACTACAAGACCCCCAGCAATATGCAATACTGTCTTCTTAATCCTCAAGATGGACTGGTTTTGGAACCAATACCAAGCCACAACTAGACGATCACGCACTTAAAAGCTTCACTTCTTAAAAGAATCAGAAAAAGATTCCACTAAAAGTAGATTCTAGAAGGAGACATCAAACGGGAAAACCAGTTGACCAATGATTTCCAGGATCTCTCCCCATATTTGCACCAGCATCCTCTGCATCAACAATATCAACTGTGCAATGAGAAAATACAAGGCTGTTAAGGAAAACTAGGGGGCCTTTGCTTCCATGGAATCCATCACCCAGTAGGACCTCCATGCACCTTCTTGACTGCTCCCACTCTCATCTCTAATCACACACCCCAACCAACAAAATTTAGGAATTCTATGGAAGCTCCAATCTAAAGTCAGCTTCCACGACAAAGAGGGCACCTGCATCCTTAGTCTATTATAGAAAGCCTTGCTGCAAATGGTCTTCTGTACCCTCACTAGATACTCAACCCTGAGTCCCCTTGCTTTATTCCTCAACTACACCCCAGAAATGATATGCATCATGGTCATAAATGTTCAAAAATTTGGCTGCCTAGGCAGCAGGAAGGCCAAAACGGCTACGCAGGCCTTAGGCGGGCATCCCACGTATCGTGCATCTAGGAGCCTGCCTAGGCGTGCCTCGACGCAGGCAGGCCAAGAGCGGAAAACAGGTCCTCGGCCAAGGGAATTTTGGGAATTCCCCCCCCCCCAACTTATAGAGGTGGGGAAAGGGTTTTGGGGAGAATTCTAGTTCCCCAAAACCCCTTTTGTGTATCTTAGAGAGAGAAACTCCCCAAAAACTTAGATTTATTAGAGATTTTTCTCAAGATTGACAAAAGATTCAACATTTTCGATTTCTTGCAAAATCAAAAGATATACTATCTAATACCTTTTGGAGCTTAGGGTGGTCACATAAGAGGACTCGTGGGGACCAAAGATCACTGGTTTGGACTGGTATCAGTTTCATTTTGAAAAGATTAGTGCATTACAATATTTGAATTAGGACATGGTATTTTTTGTATAATGTGTTATAATTTGATATACTTTTTTTTTTTTTGTGATATTTGTACATGTTTGTAGTTGAAAACTTGAATAATTTATGAATATTCTCCCGCCTATATTGAATTCATATTGAAAAGCCTAGTGCAATAAAAAAAATACAATATTTGGAGTAAGTTTTTTTTTTTTGTATAATGTGTTATGATTTGATATTCTTTTCTTTTTTGGTTTTCTTCTTTGATATTTTTACAAATTCGTTGTTGGGATGTTTTGTGAATATTTACAGGTTTGGGCTTTGACTTTGAATGGTTACTTTATCAGTTTATGTGATACGTACTTTGAGATTTGTTTGCCATTTAATGATGTTTGTGTCTCTGTGATTATTTATTTTTTATATTCAGGGGTTTGGGGCCTTAAAACTGCCCTATGAACTCCCTAGGGGACCTAAACCCCGGCCCTAGAACTCCTTGGGGTCCTAGCCTATCATTGTTCCTGGGCGGGCATACCCGATTTTTTGAACAATGATAAAAACCACTACATCGTAGTATATTTGTAAATCTGTAAATTCTTATTATTTATTAATGAAATTCAAATACAGAACAATACCCAAAAAAAAAAACGAAGATAATATCAACCATAGACTTCAGCCCCAGCTCCCCCAAATATAATCGTTTTTATGCTCACTGCATGCCCCTGAAACGATAGCAAACAAGCAGCACAACCAGAGAAGTATATCACTTTTCTAAATTGCAACCCAATGTAATGTAAGCTAGTAAGATCCATTGAATTCTCAAGAACCATCTATATCATACCAAAGAGGCCAAGAAGCCCATCTTCCTTAGGGAAACACTTAATGGATGAGATGGTGATCTACAATCTCCTTTGCCGGTTTAAACATTACACAAATAAGTGAGACCTAAAAGCCCATATTTTAATGGTGATTAATTCTGAGACCTTTCCTTCAGACCAGCCACCTCAATATTCACATGCAGAGGGAATGAATATTCCACACCAATCACACCAGTGACTCCATAAAGTTACTGGACACAATTTCACAAAACTCAACAATAAATTTCGTCAAAAAGGAACACTGTGACCATATTAAAACCCACCTATCCACTCCTCTCCTCATGAAAAAGATCCCTTATAATAGCTCTAGTAGACATGCGAACTTGATTATCTCCTACGGCCTCAGATCCCAAGTAAGCTTCATAAGCTCATCCCATCCATCTTCTTTTGAGGAATTATACAATGTGTGTACATCCCTATCCACTGCTACTCTAAATCACAGTTAACCCTGCGATTCGGAAACTGAATCGATTTAGGAATCAGAAGTGCAGAATTGCCGCCGGCAGGAAGACTTTTGTTTTTGGAAACGACATCTGAACAAGAGGAAACGTGAGGGACGAGATTCCTATTTTTACGAATCGAGATTCGACCAAACTATAATCGAGATCCCTACATAGATGGAATCGAGATTCCTAGCTCATTGGAATCAAGTTTCTGACCTACTTGGAATCGACCAATATAGAATCGAGATTCTGACATATTTGGAATTCAGAGGTAACAATACATGTCTCAATGCCATTTATTGACCGACATGCCATACATGCACGTTTACATTTATTTGTGTTACATGATTTCTAACATCTTGGAGTTGCAATCTCTCCATTGGATCAATACAATGCATACTTAAAGAATTTAAGTAGAGAACGTGGACCACCACTTTAGTTTCTATTAGTTGTTTCATGCCAAAAATGATGACTACACGTAGCTTGAGATTGGGTGTCTTTTTTTTTTTTATAAAGAGCTTGAGATTGGGTGTCTAGCTCTGTTTGATGACTTGTAAACTTCTAAACACCACTTCTCAGGAAAAAGCGAAACGAAAAAAAACAAGAAGGGAGGGGATGGTAAATTTCCAATAATGTGGAAACTAGTTGCAACAAGTGTAGAATTGAGATTCACCAATTGCGGAATCGAGAATCAGTAGACATTTGGAAACGAGATTCTATGAGTGTTGGAATCGGGTTCCATGAAGATTCCTAGTCGGAATCACTGAATAGGAGTTCTAAATCGGAATCCCGACTGAGATTCATGTAACTTTGCTCTGAATAATTCTCATCTCCATACCATTACTAAAAAAATCTATCCCCTGCTCCAAATCTTCAAATAATTGGCCAATACCCCGATTTGAAAGACCTTCTTACCTAGACCACAGGCCTCCAAGTTTATGATAGCCTCAAAGACCTCCCAGCATCCCCCACCCCCCCATCATGTATCAATCCTACGCTTCTGTAGAGCAACATGACACAGGAGGTATCCACTAGTATGCTAATACTAATTCTGTCTATGAGGCAAAACCAAATATTCAGTCAACCTTCTTCCATAGTTCTTCCTTTTTTATGCTGATGTTGATGTGATAAACTACATTCATTGATGTGAAAATGTATAAATCAAGTTGTACTAAAAGTAGAAACATGTTAAGATGCACACATCGATAATAGTGAAAAAAGATAGACCACCAAAGATTGAGAAAGTGTCTAGTCCAAAGGGCTAGCCGTTGCTCAACACTCTTAACAATGTGGTACCGTTGTGCTCTTTGCCTGGTCCAATTGATTTCCTTCATTATTTACCTGCTTGAAAGTGCATAGGAAAGACATCTCATGAAACTGCCAAACGCATCATCATCTTCAAAGTAATCAACCACCCTCCATAAAATTTCTTTTTGCCTCTGGCCGATCTTATCAAATTTAGAGAGTCCCATCTTCCACATTAACTGGACCTGAGAGACTGTTTTTTCCCTTATGCCAGTAAGAACAGCCAAACTCTCTAATACCATGGAATCATAAATGCCCCTTGATCCCATGTCAGTCATTTGTCATCCTCATCTCACCCAAGCTATCTCTAATAATACAACCCAAAACAACTAACCCGTGTTCCCCCTGAACTTCCCTCTATGTTAATTTTAAGCATTCCTTTAGGAGGTGGTTCCTAAATGATTCTCATCTTCATTGATGACCAGCCCTATATATGTCATTGAACTCCAATCCCTTGTAAAGTCTCGCATTGCGAATTCCATGATATAACTAGTTCTTAAGTCCTCTCAATGTCCTCATACCGCCTTCTACTTCTACAATTAAAAAAACATTCAACTGTTCCTCCTAAACACTCCAAATAATTGCAGTAAAGCATGGTCTCCATGCAGTACAGCAACCACTCAACAGATGTTCCACCCAATGCTGGCGTCACCCAACTAGTACTTCAAGGCTAAGGAACAAATCCCAAAATTTCACGTAGCAAATTCACAACGAGAGAGAAGATGGGTCGCCACTTCTTCCTCCTCCCAGTACAAACACAGTACTTTTTAATTAACAGAAATTCAACCTTTTTTTTTTTTTGACAATAAGCAATTCAGAATCTTTGAAACAATAGAAGTCTTTCAGTCATGCAAGTGCTCAAATATAACAAAATGGCTAAGCAAGCATAAATGAATCAGCAAGAAGAGAAGTCATGCAAATAACAAGGCCTTCCAGATATATGTCAGATGCGCAAAATCACAACTTTGTTGTTTTCTTTTGTCTTCTTTCTTTTCTTTCCTTTTTTTTTTTTTGTTGGTGTGCAGTGTATGTTTGCCCAGCATATTCCACCAAAAAATTATGATTAACCTCTCGCAGGGCTTTTTGTTGAATCCACTTAAGAATTTTGAATATGCCTAACTTCTCATTTAGCTTCTTTTTTTTTATACTTTATCAAAGTAAAAAAGTGCTTTTTTATCAAGATTGGGACTTGAATTGTATGTATCTTTTCTTCCATCTCCTCCCTCTTTGGATTCTTATGAATTCGGATCAATTGGACCTATCTTCGTACTCCCATTATCGTCTTACTTCTTACCCTCATTGAAAAATTTCATTTCCAATGGAATTTCCTTTACAATAAACAATCAATAATAATATACCAAATTATGTTTCATGAATGAACTACTCGTCATTTTTCCAATGTAAACAAAGAATTTGCATTTACTTTCTTCATTTTCAATAGAATTTCCAAAATTTCTGTACTAATAAACCAATATGTATAGATAAAATATTACATAAATGTCTTTTTTCCAAATGACTATTATAAAAATATTCTTAGGAAAAATCATATATAGAAAGAGACTTGCATTACCAAACTACTCAAATGATGATCATAATGCAGAGTACATAAGTCCATGAAGAGCTATAGAAGATAGTGAACTCTCTAGCAAAGTAATAAAACAATAGAGGGTAGTTAAGATTCTCAATCTTACAAATGTATCCTCCCATGCTAGCTCGAGAATCAGCTGCAACCATCACTCCTTCTTTAAATATAAATGCAAGAGTTGTCGTCCCCTTTGCAGGTTTGACCATCTGCACTGCTTTCTTCTGGAAAGTATCAAACTGCCGAGAGAACAAGAAGTAAAAATCCACTTCTCTTGTCTCAAAAAATTAATCGAAGTATGAACAAGCCAAGTCAGACAAGATTATATACAAAATAGTCCATGATCCAAAAGACACCCTAGATATGTTTTTGGTTATAATTATCATGCATATGAATTTGAGTGAGCAATTCTTAGCTGTTGGGCAAAGTTAAATAGCCAAAACCATAATATCTTCAATCATGGATAAGGGTTTCAAGCAATAAGGGAAACTCAGTCGGAAGGGTAAGTCAGATTGGCTTGTTCTAGAGGCAAAGTTCAAGGGTTGAACCCATGGCCTCCCCTATTCAAGGATAAGATGTCTTACCAACTACCAACAGGCCAAAAGCCTAAGTGATTTCAGAAAATCTTTTCATAAATGGCATGTTGATGCTGTCAGTTCAATAGCTTCCATATGGATATGTCTGGCAAAAATCTAAATCTTTATAAATAATGACATTGCATATAAAAAGATAAATGGCGTCATTTACAAAAAAAATTGTTCGAATGTCTCCCAACTTTCAGCCAAAATGAAGAAGCTCCGTGCTTTAGCTTAAAATTTTCTCTTACAGAGGAGGATACCGGTCGCACTTCAAAAATTTAAATATAAAACTAGCACTTCAAGCCAGTGTTCGCAAAATCGAACCGGAACGGCCAACCAGACATGGAGACGGAAGCGGTTTAACTGGCCTAACCGGTAAACCGGCCGATTCAATCGTTCTAACCGGGCAAGTCCTAGGCGGCCAAAAAATTGCTGAAAAAATATAAAAAATATGAAAAAAAAAAAAAAAAAAAAAGTAACTAAAATACAAAAAACATATAAAGAATGATTAAAACAAAACACATTCAAATGAAGTTGAAAATTAATGAAAAAAGTGGATTTTAAATAATCGATTTATGCCTAGGAGTATTTTCAAAAATTTTCAAAAAAGATCAAAAAATATAAATGTCAGTATTAATGATCAAAAACAATTTTTAATATTTACCATAATGTAATGAATATTAAAAAATGTACTAAAATTCCTTATTTTTGGGATTTTCTATACATTTTTTTGAAAAAAAAATAAATACCGACCGATCACCAAAACTGCCCGAAACCGGAACCGGCAAGGGGCCGGTTCCAATCTAACCAAGCGGTTACCAGTTAGATCACCGGTTTTTCTAACAATGCTCCAAGCTGAAGCTGCTCTAAAATCGAAAGATTTGAAACATTAAGAAATCCAATAATACAATGAATTATAAGAGACAACAACTTGAACTTTCATAAAAAAAAAAAACAATAGAAATTAAAATGTAGAAACAGATGAACTTCAAAAATGAAGAGAGGCCAGAGATATCTCACATCCGCACTGTTAGGAAGCTGGAATGACGGCAGTGACATAAATCCTTCACAAAGTTCATCATTTACCACATGTGCTGGAGCCAAAGAATTAAGACCACTCGTGTCAAGTCTCATGTTTAATCCTGCAGAAGAGAAACGAATCAAAATATCCAATGAAATTACTGAGATAGAAAGAAGCTCTAATAATGATGTAGGGAAATTTTGCAAGAAAGAACGATAATAATGACGTTTGGCAACTAAACACCTGCATCACTATGTATAAAGATTATTATTATCGTTCTTTTCCTGCATCACTATGCTAATAACAAACCTCTAAACCCTATTTTTTTATTAAAACCCCACTGCCTCCATGCCCTAGACGTAGTTTGGGGTGAAAGAAGACATAAATATCGATCTCTGAGTGTAAAAACAACAGACACAATGAATGAATATTAAATGGCAAACTAACCACAATTTTAGAACGGAAAAAGTATAGGAAAGATGTAACTGTGTATTCTATTATAAAGAAACAAACTTTAGGAACCATCTCCCCAATTAAAACCCTAGTTCCGACATGAATTCATAAAACACCAAGGCTTGATAATTCAATGGATCAGTTCGAGATCAAAAAGAATACAGCCAGCCCTCACAAAACATTCTAATAAAAAATAAATAACCGTCGAAGAAATCTCATCTCTGACTACCTTTCATGCTATATAATCAAACAAAGGAAGATGATCAACAAAAAAACCCTAATCATGGCAAATACAATAAAAACAACAATAAAAACCGACTAGATTGAATGCTTCGCACCTGATTCTGATGCCTTTCAGTGGTATTGAAGAACCTAGACCAAAAAGCTTGAAACCCTCGATTCCAGAAAAAAAATGTAGAAAGAAGACACAAAAACGAGATCCCCCTCTAAAAACTATTTAGTAAATATTAGTTTTGAGGATTGCCCTCTCAGATAGCGTCGAAGAGGTAAACGTGTAGAAAAAGATAAGCAAATTTAGAGAGAGAGAAAGGGACGAGAGAGAGGGAGGAAGAGACGGTGAGGTGTTTGTGCTAGCACGTGCCAATTATAATGCTTAATGTTGTTTTGATTGTATTTGGGAAAAAATTATATAATGTTGCAACCTTAAAATGTATAATTATAGATGCACCTCGAAAATCGCTCTGAAAGGTTTGTTTTAATCTTGAAAAACTATAAATATGATAAAAGAAAAAGATTTTGAGTCTTAGAGATAGTGCATCTTGCAACATATTATCTATTTTCAAGATTTTTTTTATAGATATACTTGATTTTAATCATTTTTAAAATTTTAATTTTTATAATTCGATGTGAAAATAAATTTTGAGATAATTTTAAGAATTTTTTATACCAAAATCACATGTTATGATAAAATTTAGAGGTGCGCCTTAATTGGATTGTTTAATGCTGCAACCTTATAAACACCACACTCATGTATTTGCAAGGCTCTAAACAATCAAAAACAACAATAAAAACCATTTTGGTTTTGTGTCCAATAATTTTAGAGAATTTCAGGATCTAGAAGAAGGCATTCTTTCAGCTATTCAAAAGGGTTGGTTTCTAATACAGATAGAGAGTGACACGTCTCTACTAGTAGATGCCATTAAAAATCAACGTCGTGCCCCTTGGAGATTAAAGACGATAGTTGACCATTGTCGTGCAAGATTATCGCCTAACAGGGTGGTCTATTGCTCATGTTTTTCACGAGGTAGTTGATGCCCTCGCTAAGAGAGTATCGATTTATACAGGAGCCACTATTTGGTGTAGTCGTCTGCCTGACTTTCTGTCTCTACTTTTATTACATGATTTGATGCAAACTGCCATATTATAGGATTGTATAATAACATGTTATCCCTTTTCTATTAATGAAAAATCGGGTAGGGGGGCTTCCCCCACTAACGTACCAAAAAAAAAAATAGAGGAACCGGAGGGTAAAAAAGAACAATAAACTCTAAATGCCTCGACAAACAATTATGATGTCAACCTGATTAACTCAAAAGAATCACGAATTGCGCCTATACCTGAAGAACATTCACAATGGTCTTGGAGCACAAGAAAAAATCAACTGGAAAGTTTGGTAGATGAAGAACAAAACAAGCATAAGCTCACCAGGAGTTAACAACTAAAAGTCATCAAGATCAAAGTAGTGAGGATAATCTTAGCTCCAAACCCATAACCTAATAAATGGTCATCACATGCGAAATTCCACTCCAAGATACAGTCCTGAAAGTGGCACAAGAGGCCCCAGCATCGAGAATCAAACTGGGGCAAATGATCCATTCAATTCGTACTTTCAAATTAACACAATAAATGATTCACACATGTGTGACAATGAAACAAACTCGCAAGAGCAAGATAAACTCAAGCATAAGCTCAACTAAAACTCTGAAGCTAGGGATTCTCAAACTCATAATGATAAGGAAACCTTAATCTCGGGACAATAACTCAAGAGGAAGCAAATGAACAAATTCTTCAAGGAAACCTATTGCCTCAAATATCAAAGAAGTAAACATTTTAGAAATTCTAAGAGACTCAATTGGGCCGCCTTCACAAGACTTCTAGATGATCCACCCATATGGGACGAGGAATTAGAAGCTGAGGACCAAATTGGGTCACCTCCTTAAAAAGAGGGATCGCTAGAACTTAATAGGGGCAGGAGCACGACTCTGATAACCAGGGCACCCCCAAATCAAGAGCTTTCATTTAACGAAGAACAAGTCATTGTTAATTCGAAAGACTCTATAGGGGCAACCCCATCAAACTACTCAGTAAGGGCAGTCTCCTCCCATGAAGAGAACATAGTAGGGGCAGTCTCCTCCCATGAAGAGAACATAGTAGGGGCAGTCTCCTCCCATGAAGAGAACATAGTAGGGGCAGTTGATGAAGTTGAACTCCTATTTGTTAACTCCCAATATGTCACAAGGCCATCTAATGTTAACTCGGTCATTCTTCTTGTGTGAGAGTCTCACCTGACCTCAAGCACTAAGAAGGAGTGTACTACGAAGTTAACCCCCGAAAAGCAATACAAATCCTAGAATGAAAAGGACAATTGAAAAGGAGTGGGGTGATCACTCACCCCTTGCAAATAACTAAATAAGGCATTCACGCATCATACTTCAAAAGGCATTAACGCTTAATGAGTAACATAAATTATCACATTAACATGGAAAACCTAATGAGATTATCCATCAAAACAAAAGACTGATGGATTATGAAACTGAGAGTGCTTCTTAGTCTGAAAATCAAAGTTCATGTAGGGCAATTCAAATGACAGGTTCGAGGGGAATTCTATGACCATTGTCAAAGAGATATTGGATGCCAACCTAGAACAAGAGAAATTAGAATATAACTAATATTATAACCTCCTTGCCACTTCGAGAAGGGAAAAGATTGTCGAATTCCTGCATGATCTTAGGGCAAATTGCCAACAAAAAAAGAAAAAAATAATGCATCATTGACTCTGCTTCTTCATCCTCCTCCTCTTCCTTCGTCAACGTCTTCTTTTTCAAAGTTAAATAAAAAATAAATTCGTTGGGTTGAAAATCCGAAAGGAAACTCAAGGGTTGAAAAGAAGGCAACCGGGTTGAACCAGAAAAAGACCCCGGAGTGATGAAAAATAAATAAAAAATAAATCAACTGTGTTAAAAATCCAAAAAGAACCCTAAGTCTTAGAAAAAATATTATCGGGCTGAACACTCAAAAAAAAGACCCCGAAACAACAAAAAAAAAAGAAAAAAAAGGAAGAAGAATAAAGTCATATCTCTCTATCTTTTCTCTAAAGTCTTTTTCTTTCTAAAAACATATTCTCCTCCCTTTTCTTGAGACAAAATGGTGTCAAAAGAAAATCATTGAGCATTAGCCTGATAGAACATGGTTAATGACCTCGATCATCTGGACTTTGAAACGTAAGTGGTGGAGGAACGAAGATGAAAGTCAAAAGAGATTCTGAACACTCTGAGGCAATATAATGTATTCTTCAAAACTCGGTTCTACTGGAAAGCTCCAGAGAACTCCCCTTTGAATTGAAATGCGAGAGCTGAGGTTGGAAGATAAATGAATAATCGATGATTCCTCATCCTGAAGATCCCAGCAAGGACCCGACAAGTTCATATTAAGATCTACCAAATGGGTCACAAGTGGTTAAGTTGTAAGACCCACATTTTTTTTTTTAAGAATTATTCTTTTTAAAACTTCTATTTTTTTAACTCTTTTTCAACACCCTTAAAAAATAAAAAATAAAAAAATAATAAAAAATAAAAACCTTCATGATTGCATGAGCTAAAACTGCTAAACAAAATTTGTTTTTCAAAATATCTTTTTCATTTCAAAACCTTTCACGGAATATCCGGTGTTTTAAAAAACTTTAAATTTTTTGTTAAAATCGTGACCTATCCAAAGCTCTTGGTTATATTTCAAACCTATCCCTATTTTCAAAATTTCTAACATGCCTTTTAAAACAAAGGAGTTTGGACACCCGTATATGATGATTATTGCGTTGTCGTCTCATGTCTCTCTTCAAAATTAACCAGGTAAACACTTTTCTAAACAGGTAAAACCACATAGAAGACCTTAGAAAACCCTAAGAAAATCAAAGAAAATGACAGGTTCAAGAATTTAAAAGTGAAAACCTCTGAAGTCAAGTAGCATGGTCAGAAAATCCAACTCAAGTTTCAAGCTTGTGTAGCTCACCGAAACATCTCATGCTGAAAACCCTAAGATGAAAATGCCATAGGTGGGTGAGCGGAGAGTGCAATGTCTTGGAGGGAAAGTTGGTGTGCCCTCTGATCATATGACATCAAATAAATTAAAATCTCAACAGTATCTACTTCTTTTACACTCACATGTCTCTCGAAGGACAGGGAGCGCTAAAGAGGGGCAACTGTAGACACCCTATTTTCAAAACTAAAAAAATTTAATGATTTTCTAAACCTTAAACAATCTTAGGACCACACTATCTTACTAAACCTCAGACCATAGACCACTATACTCCATATTGCCTATCCTGTGATCTAGAATCATGCAGAATACCCTGTTTTATTAAAAAAATCTTTAAAAATAGCAAAATACTTTGTTTTGACCGAAAGTTTGGCAAGAAGCATCACTAGAGCCTGCAAATCACCTCAGAACTAGAATCTGCCAATTTCGAGCAGATTTGATCTAGGGGGCACCACTGGTACTGCCCAACCCCGACTACCCCAAAATGGCAGTTTTCGCATACTAACTCATCCTAGACCTTTTTTTTGGTAGATTCACCGAATCTAGACCCTTTTTTTCTACTTAAATTGGTATATATCAATTTTGGTATGATTTGAGCCTATATAAGAACATTTCATGACCCATCTTAAGGTTAGAGAGACCTTATTAGCTTGTATGCCCAAAGAAAACTTGGAGATTGTGATACTTGAAGAAAACCTAAATCTAGGAAAAATCTTATCTGTAGGCCACCTGCAGCCTTTAGATTAATAAATCCATCCAACCAAGCCAAGGCTTGGTAAAAAATATGAAGAGAGACATAGAGGACGCATGGCATAAATCCAGCCGGTCCTAATACGGGCGAGGCCTTGAAGCCTCAGGAGTCCCCAGCCAACTGGCCTGGTTTGATATTTTTTATTTACGATTTCTATATATTTTTTCTGTATTTATTTATTTTTATTATAATTAATTATGTTTTTTTATATTTTATATTGTATTTCATATTTTAGATCAATGCTGGCACTGCCACTGATTAATTGCATATCTACTCATTTCCAAGTAGATCTGGCCTTAGATCAGAATCTGATTGTCCCACTTTGTATCACTCTTTCAAAAAATCAGTTTGTGGTTCGGATATGGTCGATTCATATTCATAGATCGTCTCGATCTACATCGTGAACAGTTTGGCGCCCACCGTGGGGCAGTTCGAGCTTGATTCAAACACGAAATATGTCTCTTTTATTCATTATTTTCATTGCTTTCTAATTCCAAAAAAGTCCCAAAAACTATTGTTATCAGTGTCCGGGGGTTCTGGAACCCCGGGAATTAATTTGCTTAGGGCGACACCACTAGTGCCTCCCAACCTGGACCTGGCGGCGCTGCCTGTGCCACCCAAAAGCCTAGGCGGCACCACCTGTGCCACCCAAAAGCCTAGGCGGCACCACCTGTGCCACCCAAAAGCCTAGGCGGCACCACCTGTGCCGCCCAGACTGGGCCTGGCGGCATCACCTATGTCGCCCAGATCTAGAAGCCCTGAAAAAATCCTGGGAACCCACATCTCTATTCCATGCCATTTTCCCTGGCTTCTCACCAATTTTGGGCCAAAAATAAATTTTAAAAGAAATATTTTATAGAAAACAGGATCAATGTTAATTTGTGTCCCTTTCGGGATTGCTGATTTGGATTGGATTTCGATGGATAGGCGATCTGGGTCCCTTCCCCTTGAATCCCCTTGCTGTTTTATAATTTTACCTAATTTTTAATTGGTTCAGCAAATCTGAATCACTAATCTAGACGAGCTCAGTGGGTTTGCGATCACCCATTTCTAGCTTGGGAATGGGGTTGGGATAGTTGTGGTTAGGAGGCTAATGCCTCAACATAACGTCTCACCCTCCTTTCCCACAGTTAACATGTAAAAATATTTTGTTTCAATTTTAAAATCACTTATGCAACTTTTTATAATCTTCATCATCGATACAATAAAGGGGTTGTGCAATATGAGACCATTTGTACCTTATAAGGCGGTCACAATTGCTACTGGTCATCACATATCAAATTGGAGCCTAAGGTATGTCAAAAAGTTCGAAAATTTATTTATTTATTTTGTTTTTATTTTAGAGTGCTTTCAGTGACACATTCATGATCACCAAATTTGAAATACGATGGGCAAGAATGATTATCACCTCTTTATATAATAATCAAATGATATTTTCTTGTACTTTTCCATGAATAAATAGACATCTTAACCATAAATTAAAATGACATGCTCAGATTTGAAGGGGAACCATGGCATTGAGGCTGATGCCATGAGAGCCCATTCGATGATGGCCTTAAAGCAAATCTACTCCGCATAAAAAGTTGTGTGCTGCTTCATAGGACCCACTTGCGCCAAGGCTCACTAAATGACTATTTTGACCCTTGCCCAACCGAGCGAGGCTCATTAAATGACTATTTTGTCCTTTGCCTAGTTAACACGACAACGTCTGGTCACCAAGTCGCTATTCAATTGAGCCCACATTCACGTGTGGCCCATGTGAAGGTCAAGGGCCTTGCCTAGGTACTACATTCCTTGAGCGTATCTCAACCGTCGATCGGTAATGAGGGTGGAGATGTAAGCAGGTGGGCGGACCCACTTGAAAGTGCAGGGCCCAAACACTTAGTATCCCATTCGTCCTCATAGGCAACCAATAGTAGACGTCAGTTGTTTTTTTTTTTTTTTTATGTACCGATTCTTACCCAAAAGTATCATTTGTATCGCCGATCCAAATTGGAGATTCCCAAATGGCTGGTTCATCTGATCGATTCGGGATTTAAAACACCGGTAGATATCATCATGGTTAGCAAAACGGTTTCAAACAAATATTTTTAAAATGGTCTGGTATCTAAAAAAATATAAAGTTTGTAAAAGGTATCAATCTAATTGAGAAATTAGTCGCATGTCAAAAAAAACCCACTACAAAGGTTGTTCATAGCCTTGCAAAACCCTTTGATGAACTAAATTTCGAGATGTATGATTATAAACAAGAAAAGATTTAAGTCTTAAAATAGTGCATCTTGTAACGTATTATTTGGAACATTTATACTGAAGATTTTTATGTATTATAGATTTACTCCATCTGCTTTATTTTTAGAGCCTTATTTTCATAATTGAGAGTGAAAATAAAATTTCAAATCATTGTAAGATTTTCGACACTAGAATTGCATCTTCGGGTTCAAAAGGTGTCGTTTCTAAAATAACTTCAAATAACTTTGATTTTACTTTCCTCATCATCATATTTTCGAACTTTAGTGCTTTTATAAAAATAAAAATTATCGAAAGTGGAATATTGCTTTTGGCCTCATGATTTTCAGCTTTAACCAACGAAAAGAAAAAGTAAAATACTTTGTCGGATATATTCATAATTCTATAAATGATTCATGATACACATACATCACCATAATAATACACAGTAACACAGTACCAACATGCATCACAAAATGAGCCAGTTTAACTGGGGCCATCCAAATTAACACAAATAACAAAAAAAAAGAGGAAAAATTTATAAGATGCCCGTATTCTTCAAGCTTGCAGCACGTGCCACCTCTTAATTACAACTCTAGAGAGCTCTTTCGCATGCGTGAGGCGTCATTACTATTCCTATGCACGTGTGAGGCGTCATTACTCTTCTTCCATGCTCGTGTACCATTCATTTGTGTCTCTTTTATTTATCCCTCTTCTAGTGGGTAAGACTTTAAGATACAAGGACTTACCTATGGGTGGCCCTTTTTAGTAGTAGTATTACCATTGTCTTAGACAAGAGGTCACCTATCTTAGTACTACTCTTGTGTAGGCACGTCCGATGAGTTATGTGTCTTTTGGGACCTGTATCTGTATCGGGCAGCCCAAAATAGATAATGGACGAAATTGAGGGCACTAAGGACGCACATGAGCCAATAAAACCTCTCCAGGTGGAAATCGTTTAGGGTTCGGCCCGAGAGCCATGGTGCATGGCCATGCTTACTTGTTGCCTTGTTCACAATGGTCACCAACACTGAGCTCAAGTAGTAGCCCAAGGCTAATGAGGCCCAGCTCAGAGATGTAGCCAGCGACCTCATGGACATTGGGGCCTCTGTGAAGAAAAATTCCAGTAATCCTGCGAGGGTGAAGACGTCTGCAGAACCTAGAAACAGATACTGGAAGGCTATCCAGAGGAACGTGTCAGGTAATGGTGGGTTTCCTGGTTCTGGATGTCCAACTCGAGCCCAAGAGTGTTTCCTTTTAGTCTCAACCAATGCAGCGGTGGCCATGGCTACGATCGATAAGACAAGTCCTGCACCGATCCGCTGGAGGTGAGAGACCCCTGTCTCGATGCCTGTAATTCGAGATGCTAGGGGAACAAAGAAACGGTCGTACAGTGGCACGAGGATCATGATGAAGACTACTGGGAACACCGGCAGAGATGCAGGGGGTACCTTTAGCTTGCCGATCTTGGTGTCCATGGTGGCCGCCTGCTGCACAGAGAAGGTCGAGAGCTGGGCCAAACAACAATTCAAGATGATCGTGCATGCGAATATAGGCAAGATCTTTATGACTAGTTTGACCTCCTCTACCTCTTGCACTGTACAAACTAGGCTCTGATTGTGGCCCGAAGGGCTTGCGGCCGCAGCTCGATTCAAGAATTTCAGTTCACCTGTGAGAGAAGTTGAGGTTTCTATAGAGGAACTCATTTTGGTCTTCATTTCTTCATTAATGGCTTTCTCTGATTCTCGAGGGCTAGTAGCCACGCTCACTATAGCGTTGCTAGCAGTCTTGGAGCCGTTGCCCTTGCAAATGGAAGCAAGAATGACCTGCGGGACCAATTTAGGCACAACAAATTCAGTGGAGGCCCAAGACTGAGATGGGCTCTCAGACTCGACCCATCAAAATAAAATTAGAGAAATTTACTGAATTTATGGTTATTAAAAGTTGGGCCATAGTCTCGGCCCATCAAAATTAAAGCAATTTACTGGAACCTCTCTTTAATTTACGGTTTTTAGAAAAATCCCCAGGAAATGTTAATATTACATGCATACCCCTTTTTTGCATTTTTCATTTTATTTTTATTTTTTTTCCAAAATGCCCTTTCTTCAGAACATGAGATTCCGAAGTTTTCTACTTTTTTTGTAAACTCTAGTTAGCCCTCAAATGCCCCCAAGACAAGAGTCAAGCTTTGGATCTTTAAAATCCAAAGTGATGACAATTTTATTATTTAAAAGAAACAAAAAATTCGGTATAAATGTAATAATATAAAAGAAAGTTTTTTTTTTTTAAAATAACAATAATTACTCTCATAATTAATTAGAAAAAAGTACAAAATTAATGAGCAAACAGAGTAAAGGAATAGTCCATTTTGTGTTAACCAATAAGCAAATGAAGAAAAGGAAGGGGAGAAGGATCTAAGTATTTAGAAAATGGGTAGATTGGGTCAGTTTATTTTTCATTTCTTGTCGTCAACACTTTATATCTTTTGAATGGGAGCATGGTAGCATACTCTCAGGGAAGTACATTGTAAACTCACTTCATTTGGCGAAAGAGAATTTATTTCATTCTAATTTTTGAGATGCGCTCTAGAATAGCCATAGGAGTGTTTTTTTCTTACAAAAGAAGTTTTGGAAGTTGAGTTTCTAAAAGCTTTGGTATGACATCAAAAATTGGACTTTTTTTATTCTACTTTAGGATATTATCCTTTTCAAGAATGCATGGAGTGTTTTTTTTATATTCATTTATTTAATTGTTTTTATGTTAACGGCAGTGTTGATTTGATTCATCATTATTATTATCATCATCCAAACGTTATCTCAATTATTTCAAGTGAGCTTCATTAATCTTGTCCATATATTCTTCTCTATCATGCACCATCCCCTCAGTAAAATCAAAAGTCACATTTTTTCACTGGTTATCCATATCCTTTTGAGACTTCCTTGATCTTCCACTTGAACCAAATCGTAACCCCTAACCATTACCCATTACTATATTAGGAACTTAAAAATAATATTGGATAATATTTTAAGCTAGAGAGTGAACAATATGCTCTCGCAAGTACATATAATCGCGAGCATAGATAAACAGGTGTACATGAAAGAGAGAGTTAAATACGAATGAAAGCATATACCATAGAAACGTCGAACAGTAAATGTCACACCATGCCATCCGTGCCCCAAGATGGGTGGTGGAGATTAATTATACCCATGTGCATGGCCTTGCCGTCTCAACTAGGGTAAATCTCCACCATTCAACATTGGGACTTGGACTGTGGTACTGCGGTACCGTAGAAGGTACACCAATGATGGGCGACAAACTTTCCGCAAATAGAAAATCATGATTGGTTTGTGTCACTCTCAAAGTTCAAGGTTCACACTTCGATGAAATTCTTTGTAAAAAGTGGGACTTTGGTAAGAATCTTGATAAAATTTTGAGAGAGAGAGAGAGAGGGGGTTACTTGTTGTCCACGACATTCAGCATGAGAGAGATGTTTCATTTTGACCATAACTTAAGAGGATAAAAGAGAGAGAAAGGGGGTGGAGAGAGAGAATCTCACTTTGGCCAATGTTTAGAGAGAGAGAGAGAGAGAGGGAGAGATTATCTCACTTTGGGTAATGTGGGGTTGGGGGGAGATAGAGATTATATCTAGGGGTGGCAATGGACCACGACCCGACCCAAGTCCGGATGCCGGTTTAAAAATTGGACCCTACCGGTTGGGCTTGTGTCCACATTATATTTTTATGTCCCAATTTATGAAATATATTTACATATATAGATATTTTGATTGTTGGGTCGGATTCGATCGGTTTTGGATCTGGGTTCGAGTCCTGGTCCCACATTATATTTTCATGTCCAGGTCCGGGCCTGAGTCTTGGACCAGGTCCCATTGCCACCCCTAAATTTATCACTTTGGCCAATGTGGAGGGAGAGAGAGATTATATCACTTTGGCTAAGAGAGAGAGAGTGATTATATAACTTTGCCAACTGTGGAGAGAGAGAGAGATATTCTCTCACCTTGGCCATCGTGGTGAGTGGACTTCCATCGGGTACCTTGTTGCGATATAACGTCGACCCGACCAAGAACACCACAATCGACAGCAACATGCTCGCTGAGGACACCCCAAACCCCCACTCCCAACCCTCATTGTCCTCCAACCAAACAACAAATGTCACAGCGATCAACCCACCACAAGAGAGAGAAAACACATAGTAGTTGAAGAAAGACGACCGTTGCTTCCGACCCCGTGGCGTGCTTGGATCGAACTGCTCGGCACCATGGCTCGGCAGCGAGCCCTTGATCCCACCGACCCCCAGGGCCACGAGGTAGAGGCCGAGGAAGAGGATCGCCTCCTTTGAGCCGGTGGGCTCGAGACAGGGCTCGAGGGATGGGTCGCAGGAGGTGGGCCGGAGGTGGGGGAGGTGAGCTTGGATGGTCAGTAGGACGAGTCCCTGTTAGAAACATTTTCAGTGAACACACATTAGAGATGAGTGTTAAATGACGATGGTTTTCAGCTTGGGCCTCTCTTTCTCCCTCTCTGGCACGCAGACAAGTACACTGTCTTTTTACTCCTTTATTAAAATCTTCTTTTAATTATCTTTTTGGTTATTCTTATGGTTTTTTACTAGCGTAATTTATGGAGAAATATTCTTTTACGGGAAATGTTTCAATACTTCCCTGCTGCTGAGAAGACGTATACTCCTCCCATCCATCTCCCATTTATATCAAGCCGTTATCAAGCCATTAACTTATTGATCTACATCGACATCTCAAAGTATGTTATTTTTATTTTTTTTATAAATTATATAAAAATAAAATTTGGCACATGTCATCTTCTCAATGAAGTGCATCTAAACAAAATATTAAAAAAATCATTTCGACAAAATATAATGATCAACATACCCCCTTAAAACTTTCAAAAGTATTTTGATTATTTTATTTTATCAAGAACATTATTTTTTTTACATTTTTTACCCGTGCAAGTTTAAAAGAGGAGGGGACGGCCAAAATTTTGTATAAAAATAATTTGTCAAAAAAAATTTTAAAATAAAATAGTGTAAAGACGTGATATTATAATTAGAGTCATCTTAACCGTCCATTCAGAATTGACGATCGGATATAGAGAAGTATATAAGTTTTATGTAGTAAGGGAACCATAGAAAGCTTGCCCTTCTTTTATGACCTGTCGGGATATACTTGTTTATCACTAATGTTTCAATAAAATTAATCTTGATAACGTATTATATATTGTTCGGTAGTGTCTATCATAAAGTTATCTGATATAAACTTACATGCAGTTTTACATATAAGTTTATCTTGTTAAAAGGCTGTTTTTACTTCATTCACAGTAATTTATAGAAAATCACATGTTTTTCGTTAAAAATAGCTAAAAGTTATTGAAAATTATGAAAAAAGCTAAATAGTTAAATAATTTTACACATCATACAAAATATGTACCAAACAACTAACAAAATAATATTACTCTTAATATACTAATTTTAGATAAGATATTAAGTCCCAGGTTATATCAATTATCATCCAAGCCAGCCCTTAGTGTACTAAGAATGTATTGGATAGTCAATGCTTGAATTTTTCAATAAAACATTATTTGAAAATGGATGCTTTATTGTAAATAATACAAATTTTCAATAATGAAGAGTAACAAAATGACTTTTTTTTAAAAAAAAATTGATGATGTTTTATGAGTAATGATCCTATGTGACCCTCCCATACCCATGTTTGTAGAACCCCAAATGATTACTATTAAATTTGATACAAATCTCTAGAAAAATTATGACATGGGTGTGGGACTTGACTTTTCTAGAGATATATGCCAAATTTAATAGTGATCCTTTTGGGTCCTACACATATGGGTGTGAGAGGGTCTCACAATGTCATTTCCCTATTTTATTGATGCTTAAAAATATATGTGCTAGAAAGACAATGATAATTTATTAATTGTTGGAAAACAATTATAGCTCTATGTATAACATGTGAATGGTGTCAATTAATTTTATCTGGAATAGACTGACTTATCAAAAATTAGTATACTCAAGATAATATTATTTTGTTAGCTATTTGATACATATCTTATATTATACATAATCTTATTTAATTAGTTCACTTTTTATGTAATTTCCAACTCTTTTTAAGTCATTTCTATCAAAACATGTGATTTTCATCAAATTACTTTGAATAAAGTAAAAAAAAGCTTTTTGAAGATAAATTTATATGTAAAATTGCATACAAGTTTATTGTAAATAACCTTATGATGGACATTGCCAAACAACAAATAAATTGTTATCAAAATTAATTTTATCAAAACAATGAATTATTAGTGATAACCAATATATCCAAACAGGCCCTTATCATAAAACTTGATAAATATTCAGGCTTTTATTATAAACTTGTACCTTAGCCTTGCTTAATTACATGAACTACAAATAGAACAAAAATTAATTTTATTGAAGAATAAAAATATAAAGTATCATAATTAAAAAGGAATACATGATATAAAGAGTAGCCTCACAAAACCCTTTTGTTGTTAATTGATGACAATAAGGTTACCCATCAAAAAGAGTGAAAACACAAAGCTCATAACCACACAAGCATAACTAAATGTTTCTCGCCCATGAGAACTAACATGGAAGCAATAATAAACAGGATTTTCTCTCTCTTCCCTGTCCCTTGTCCCTCCCACCATCTGGTTATGAATGCAGAGAGAACTTGCTTGAGAGAGACACGGGCTCTTCTTTTTGGAATTTGAGAGAGAGAGTTTTTGGGCTCTGTTTTTTAATTTGATGGGGTAAATTTTTTTGGGAAATTTACAATTAAATCTTATTTTATTTCTGATAATTAAAAGTATTCTAAGGTATTTTATATTTTATAGTAGAGTTTATTTTTTGGAATATAAATTGTCTAATTTTATCTTTTTCCTATATATTGGATTAAGTTCAAATTTGATATGTTCACCATCATACACCTAGAAAAATATTAAAAATTATTTTAAAATAAATACATTACCAAACAATCCCTAAAAAGTATATAGGTAGTTTGATAATTTTATTTATTTTAAAATTATTTAGTATTTTTATAGATACATGATTATTTAGTATTTTTCTTAAAAAATAGGACTTGATCACAAAATATAAAATATGTGAGACCTATTTTAAATATAAAAAATAAAACATAATTTACTTGTAAATTTCCAAAGATTTTAATGATCATTGAGGGGGTAAAATTTTAGAGAGAGATATCTTGCCACAAATGTAAAGAGTGAAAAAGAGTGAGAGGCTCTTCTTTTTGGTATGGACAAAAAAGATTAGACAGAGAAATATCTTGCTAAAATGTGTGTATACAGAGATATCTTTGCTACAAATGCGTTTGCATAGATAGAGAGATCTTGCTAGAAATATAGAGAGAGTGCGCTTTATTTTCATAATATAAATATTTTCGTAATATAAAGGTAAATTTTTTCCCTTTGTCCTATATAAATATTTTTTGTAATATAGAGGTAAATTTTTTCCCTTTGTTCTATTATGGGGAAGCTTTTGATATGTCATCCAATAGAGAATTCATATATGCTAACTTCTCTCCCATTCGTTTGATCTAAATGAACGGTTGAGATGACTCCAATCACAATATCACGTGTAAGCATTACTTTATTTTTCTCTAAATCATATTGACACCGAATTTAGGCATCCCATACTCTCATAAGGTCGCATCTACAAAAAAATAGAATGACTTAATGCCCCAAAATTTTTATGGGTAGTTTGGTCATTTTATTTTTTGAGAAATATATTATTTTAGGTACGTTTTGTTAAATGATGGCACATACTAAATTTCATGTTCATATGATTTGTAGCAAAAATTATAAATGAAATTGAAACCAAATCTAGATCAAATGTAATGGTGGCAACAAGCCGATCCTGGGCATAGCCTTACTCTTGTCCCCATAGGGCAGGCCCAAGGGTTGGGCCAAGCTGGGCTGGGCCAAAAACAAATAAAAATAAAAAGAGGGATGACTCGCCTGAATTGGGACAACTGGCCTAGTTCAACCCTTAACCCACAATTTATAAATCATACCCTATTTTTTTTTATGGCTAGGCCAGGCTATGTTGAGCGACCGTGTCCACTGCAAACTAGGCTGAGCGGTGTTGGGCCACTTGGCCCATTGTCAACCCTAATCAAATGAACAAAAACTCATTTGAGAAGCTCTCGGACTCGTCCATTTAGATCAGATGGTTCTCGGACTCGTCCATTTAGATCAGATAGTTGGGACTGGGTGGCATGTGGGCTTTGATTATGAGATGAGGTAGTTTCATATGATTGGACAGATTCCTTGAAAACCGGAGGGCCGTTCCGCAGTTTTCCTTGGCAACAAGACGAAAGGATGGAAAGTGACAAAACCATCAAAGCGGTCTTTCGTTGCTTCCCAGTGGAAAAAAAGTGCCAACAAAAAAAAAAGGTGAAAATGACAAAAGTCACACGCGTCTTTTCTCCAAATGACAACATACTCAAATGATTGAGAAATTTTGAAACGCCTAAACTGTTTTAAAAGAAAAAAAATATTAATGAACAAATATGAGTATTTTAATAAGGGTGCGGTTTGCATAAATCCCAGGCTCTAAACAATCTAATACAAACCCAGGCTTTAAACAATCAAATTAGAGCTTACTATTTGCGCTTACTTTCAAATGGTGTTGAGAAATACAGTTTCAATATTAGAAATCTTTGTGATAGCTTTAAAATATATTTTCATCTTTATTTATAAAAATTAAAGCTTAAAAATAAGTGTAGATCAACAGATCTATAAAAACTGGAAAATCTTAAAAATTGACGGTCCAAAAATGCATTATAAAATCTACTATTTTCAAAACTTGAAATCTATTTTTTTCTCATGTCCATGCATCTTGGTATCGAGATGATCAATTTGAAGATACTTGGGCATCCAAATAACCTCTTCTAGTAAAATTTTTGAGGTAAGATCTAATTTGATTGTTTAGAGCCTCGCCTCTATATAAACTTTTCCCTTTTAATAATCAGATCTATCAAACAGTATTATTTTTTTGTTCGAGGGGAGAAGATATTATTAAAGGTGCGGTTTGTATAAATCCAAGGCTCTAAACAATCAAATTAGAGCCCACCTTCAAATGGTGTTAAAAAATACGGTTTCAATACTGGAAAGTTTTGTGATAGCTTTAAATTATATTTTCATCTTTAATTATAAAATTTAAAGCTTAAAAAATAATATAGATCAAGCAGATCTATGAAATATTGAAGATCTTGATAATTGATGGTCCAAAAATACGTTACAAGATGTACTATTTCCAAAACTTGAAATCCATTTTTTTTTTCATGTCGATGCATCTTGATATCGAGATGATCAAATGATGATATTTGGTAATCAAAACAACTTATTCTAGTGATAGTTTTACGGCAGGCTCTAATTTGATAGTGTAGAGCTCTATATAAACTTTTCCCCATTAGAATTAGAGCGTACTTTCAAATAGTATCAAGATATGTGGTTTTAATATTGAAACTTTTTGTGATAGCCTTAAAATATATTTTCATCTCTATTTATAAAATTTAAAACTTAAAAAATAGTGTAGATTGACATATCTATGAAAACTTTTAAATCCTGAAAATTGACGGTCCAAAAATGCATTACAAAATACACTATTTTCAAGTTTTGAAATCTATTTTTTTCCCCATGTTCATGCATCTTGATGCTGAGATGATCAATTTGAGGATATTTAGCCATCCAAACAACCTCTTCTAAATAAATTTTTGAGGTTGGCTCTAATTTGATTGTTTAGAGCCTCAGCTCTATATATATATAAACTTTTCCCACTATTAAAAGCTAATAAAACCCGGATCTCAGGTGGAAAGAAGTAATGCTTGTGCAGGCAAATTGATGTTTCGGACAGTGAAATAATAGTATTGCCCCAAAAGATAGATTACCTTGAAAAAGGTGACTTGAGTATTTCATGAATTTTCTTAAAAAATTTTACCCAAAAAAAGAAATTTAAAAAAAAACAAACAAAAATTACAAAATCAAATTAGAAAAAATTATATACTACAAGACCATTTATCTTTATGGAAAGCACTTTCGGCAACAAAAATATCAAGAATATCCGTTAAAAGAATACCTTAAACAAAAATTTTAAAAACCAAATTAAAAAAAAAAAACCCACCAAATCATTTAAGTTTTAATATCCTCGACAATTTTGCAAGGGGTTGTGACCATTAAATAATTCGCCTTAAATAATAATCAATTTCCTAGTCTATACCTGACCTTGCAAGGGGTTGTGACCATTAAATAATATTCGCCTTAAATAATAATCAATTTCCTAGTCTATACCTGACCCTACAAAAGGCTCTATGTAAAAGACAAAAAATAATAATATAAAAATGCCAAAAAAAACAAAAATTTGCAGAAAAACAAAAAATAATAAAAATATAAAGAGATCTACCATAGTTGACTTGACGTACCATACTTAATTGTATACGAAAGGTGCAATTTAAAATCGACGGTCCACATCTTTCTCAAAATAACAGTAAACGAACCCTTTTTTAGCAAGTTACCGGTTCAGGTGAGACTTATTTTTTCAAAAAAAAAAAAAAAGTTCAGCTGAGACTCAGGTAGATGGTGAACGTTGGCAATGGACAACTTGGAGAGAGAGAGAGAGAGAGAGAGAGAGAGAGAGAGAGAGAGAGAGAGGTAGT